AGCCCGTGCGCCAGGTACTGCCTTTTGATTGGTTCACAACTGTGCTTGGTCTCAGGGGAATCTACGGGCGCTTTCCATTTACTCAAAATTTCCGGAATTTCCGGTTCGGCGGTAAATGGAACACGTTTCGTCGGTTTGTCCCACTGGAAAATTCCCAGAAAAAGTGGAAAATCTAAAAAGGTGGTCCCGTTTTCCCGGTTGGAATTTCCGAACGGAATCTCGTGTTCCATTTACGTTTCTCGTAGTTTGTACCAGTTCCAGGTCCACGGTCGGGCACCGCCACGTACCGGGGTTTACGACCAAATGGAACAACTTTTTACCAATCGGAAATTCCACTTTTGCTACCACCGAAATTTCCGGGTTTTTTTCCTAAATGGAAAGCGCCCTACATTACATTAGGTTACACTTTTTTCAGCTCGATCGAGAATTTTTCTGCCTATTGCCCAGTCTTGCGCGGCTCTATTCTGCTGCCGCCTCGCCATCCGAGCGTCTTCGCTGGGATGGCTCGTTGGCAATAAGGAAAAGTCGAACGAAGAAAATGAAGAAGAAGTTTAGATTAACTGTAAAGCATATCGAGTGGATCGTGTGCTAAGTCACTTGGTGAGTGGTGCCCCTATATATATCTACGAATCTTTAATAATATAAGTTCATTGCACAATTTCACCATGTTTAAGGTGCCAGTGCCAGTCTTTTTAATTGAATTATAATTAATAACTTTGTTTATTTTTTTTTCGCTTTTTCAACATCAGGATAAAAGTGGCATCTAATCAACACTCTTTATTGTAGGTTAAATGTACATAACTGAAAATATTAAATTTGTACTTACAAAATTGGCAAGGAGTTTGAACTTTTAAAGCTGTACGAAGCTAATCGACTTTTGATACTTTGGGGTAGGCCAGAGTGTGTTTAAGGAAGTCGTATAGATCGTATAGGGCCTCAATTGATCATGAAAGCAATTGTTTTTACATTGTTAAATACGAAAAGAGTTACCGCCTAACTCTATTTTCAAAAACTTTATTCAGTATTATTTTTTTATATTGTATTCAAAATTTGACGATTTACTGAGAAGGTTTCGGCTAGGCCGATCACTACGCTTTATTACCTTTCAAACCAATTGTTTTGTGATAAATGTTTTAGAGGACGGGTAGCTTGCAAACTAAACTGAACGCAGGGTTGTCGGAACAGCAACAAGAAGATTTATTCCAAAAATGAACGTAGTTTCCACGAAGTAAAACTCCACGACAGCACGTAACTTGTTAAACTTACACGGCCTCGGCTAACTTCAATTAACTTGATAAACTTACACGGCCTCCGCGAACTTGAATATACACTGTTTTCGTCACACTTGACTAAACACGACCAACGTCAAACTCTCTTCGCTTGTGAAAACTAGTTAAAACTTAACTCGAACTCGCCTACTTATATATACTTTCACAATAATGTTCTAGAACTTTCTAAATAGTCTAATTATAGAAAGATTACAAAATATACCGCTTTAGAAAACGCTTACACAAGATCCTAAAATAAACAAACTATGAACTCTCGCAAAGCTTCTAGAAAGTCACGCTAGTCACGCAACACAATTTTTCGTAACAATAAACATATTTTATTTTATTTTCTCGTACTAAATTTATCATTTCTTACCCAAATTTCACAATATAGTGTTAAAAGCTTTGCTTAATTTAGTACTACCAAGTGGGTGTTCCTGTCTGACAGTATCTTCAAATTTTTAACTCGAAAAGGGCGAAATTCAAAAATCAATAACCAGCTCCCCGAAATCGCACAAGTACGCCTAAGCCTTCTCGAAGTCTATGAATCTATGCCTATATATAACAGGGGCACCCAACGAGAATATAGTTCAAAACCACTTAAACATAGCAATGTTGAACGTATTTTAGTATTTAAACGGTAGATATATGCATAATTTTATCCCCTAAAAACTTTTCATCTGTTCGGATTTCCTAGCTGAAAGTCTAGTGATCCGAAAATTATAGGGATCAAAACTTACCTTTTCGAAAATTTCAGCCAGAAAAAAGGCTCCCGAAAATTCTAGGTGACCTTTTTAGGGTAAAAATCCGTTAAAAATGGGCAATTATATCATTTTTGGGAGAGTTCGAAAATCCTAAGAGAGGCGGGCAAGCAAGAAATTTAACAAATCGAACTTCTGAACAGATATTTTCCAAAAATTGTCGTTGGGTGCCCTTGATATAAGACAACTGATGATAGTGACAAACCAAAGGACAATCTCGTCCAGTTAAACTAGACTTTTCGAATCTATGGCGCAAATTCAGTTAAGGCGCCAAAGAAAGATCAAGCGAGCGGAAAAATTGAAGGGAAGAAAAAGAGCAGAAAGAAGTGAAAGTTAATTCAAACGCCGGAACACTTGCGATGGACTATCAACGAAATTTCCGTAATTCCAAAGGGTGAAAACTGAAGAAAGAAACATACATATAAAATCCAGCAAGGGCTGACTGTTGAGTAATTTAATCGCCAGCAAAAAACAGTTTGGGAAGAAAATACGAAATATCGATTATTTTGGCACATGCGTTTTCAAAAATTCTGCCAAATTCCTCCACTGCCCCATTCCCCCTCGTTCTCTCCGAATAACATTCGATTTTATAGATCCCGACAAAATATTAATAATTGCTAACAGATGGCTGGATGGTTATTCGTTCAGCTTTCCCTTCACTTACGAACTCGTTCCTGCGCATGCGCGGATCCACGAGAATTGAAATGAAACTGCAAAGCCCTCGTTCTCTTGTGCTTAAAGTAAAAAAAAAACTCTACCCAAGTGTTTATTGTCCCCGGAGCTTTAAAATTGATGGCTACGAATCAACTCCAATATCTGATCCTGGAAACACAGACATGTGCTGTATTTGTTTTCATAAATACTTAATTTATTTATTTATTTCACGTTAACGAGATACATGTACGAACTAAAGATAATTAAATAACATACACTGAATAATTAAGTCAGTTTATACAGAATACACGATGTATCTTTTCTCAATCTCCATGCATCACATGACAAAACTAATAAAAGAATGCAATATATTATTATATAAGCTAAAATGTTCTTCAAATTATATTGAATAACGATAAAATTCTCTTTTACAACGCTTCCAGTCTAGAATCCAAGAACGTTCTTTTCAAAGGAACCTTCTTGGTTCCTACTAAACATATACAAATGGTAAAGTTAAGTTACGGTGACTGCTGGCAACAAAAACGTGCAACTTGTTTTGCAACATTGCTGTTAAACGAGTTGAATAGCGTTGTTGCGCGTTTTACCACCCATGAATCAAACTTGTCTTGCAAAAATCAGGTTGTTGGAAGCTGCAAATACTGACTTCTGATTGAATAAAATTACGCGGGAGTAATAAGGCCATACATGGGAGTTACGTTAGTTACTGAAATAAAAAACAGGTTTGCACTTGGGCCGATAAAACGCGCAACATACAGAGCAGCAAACTTTCGCAACTTGCCAACAACCTGATTCGTTGCAAGGCATGTTTGTACGTGGCAAGTAAAACACGCAACATCGATCGCTTCTCAGCTCGTTTTGCTGCAATGTTGAAAAAACGTTGCACGATTTTGTTGCACGTTTTACCGTACCTTTAACAATAGAACCAAAACTGCAACAAAATGCATCGCGGTGAAACTGTTACGGACCTGTGGCCCAGCAAGATCATTCCCTCTCCCTACTATTCCTATAAAGCACCTGATCGCAGGTTATCAGACTTGAGAAACTTGGTTTCACGATCTTATATACCAGAAAATTTGACGGCGTCGCCCTTATTATCACACAGTAGCACGCGTAATCTTTCCTTCTTTGTTTTGTTCGAAGCCGATACTGGAGAGCATAATATCGTAAAACTAGTTAGTTTTGAAGATCCAAGCCCCTTCTCTTTTCTTTCCCAATCGTTTATTTCAGAATTTACTAGGTAAAAAAACATGAATAGATTCACTGTTGCTTAGAGGCAGCGTTCTTTCAAGTAAGTCACGAGTAAAGGCGCAATTTCATAGCGATTATACAGTTCCGATGCACACGCTCGCGCTTGGGCTCTGTATTTTAGACATAAAAGCCCTCATTGAATTCAATAAGGCTCGAAACAAACGCAGCCACAAATCAGCATGAAATCGCCACTAATTTACAAGCGCGGCTTCAAATCACAAATACGGAAAATCTCAGCAAAAACCTCTGTGTAGTACGGGCTCTTTTACCGATCGGTCAGCCGTCACGGAGTGCACTGGTTTTGCCACTTTGAGCACAGGTCCCCCAAGTTCACGCGTGTTGCGTAACAGAATGAGGGTTTTGAGAGAGGGCACACGATTAGAACTAAAACTCGCTAGAATCGCGCTGAAAAGACCAGAAATGCTAAGTACCATGAAATGTTAAGTACCATGAATAAGACAAGGAGGCAAGGTAAGAAGTTTTGATAAGTTTTATTTCTATTTTAGTGCCCTTTATAAGGATCACTAAATATCTCATGCCATACAAACCCTTACAATATTTCTGTTGCGCAACAACTCGTGAGCTTGGGGTACCTGTGCTTTGAGATTAAGCCTGCGTCTGTGTCGGTTTTTGTGCCGAATGTCTATGCATTATGGGGCTATTTGAAGATTTTATCTCTTAAACGTCTCTTGAAATTTCTGATCAGCAAATGTTCATGACTTAAAGTATAATTTCGAGTGTAGATTGAAAAGAATCGAACTCAGAGCGTAGTGTCTGCTGGCGAACTCTTATATCACCACGCCACTGAGGATTTGCTACTAAGAATAGGTTTGATTTGAAGCTATACAGCGACAACCCTAACACTAAATAAAAGCTAACCGTTTCGAGTCAGTGCTTAACCACTAATCACTATTCTCAGGGCTTATCCCTAATCAGTATGGTCAGTGCCTGCCTAACCCTTATCGCTTTTGGCAGTGGTCGTTGCCACTAGTAGAGGCACTACTACACTAGGTTGTGTAAACTTCATAAGTTGTCCAACTTTATCTTGTTATTCTTTCTTTTCCAAGCTCTGTCGGAACAACACCCTTTTCATCTCTGCCTTGTAGTATGGAATCCCCATAATGTACAGCCAGGAACTCAACGCTGAGCCAAGCACCCCAATTGCAGAGGACATTCCATGCAGGTTAAAGTGAAGCTCCGTGTAGGTGCCAAACACTCCAGACATTTGGACAAGCACGAATGGTGTCCAACAAACGACGTAAATGACCGCTGACCAGAAACACAGCTTCGTGGTCTGCCACTCTTCAAATGACAGGGTAACTCTTGGCGAACTTTTTGAGCAGTATATTTGAATGTAGATGATGAAGGTCACAATTATGGAAAGACCAAACAGCGGGATTGAGTAGCCAAGAAAAACCTGAATCAAGGATAACAATGCAGTAAATACTTTCATTTCTGGAAAAAACGTCAGTACGACTGAGGAGGTATTTAGCGCTGTCACGGATTTTCTACGCAAAAAAACAGCTTGGGTAATTTTAACCCTCCCACTGAGGGGTCATTCAGATTATTACCTCTCTTTTATCGTTATTTACTTTTCCTCAAGTGTTGAAAGGGTGATGCAGGAAAAATTTATTGATCAAACGGGCACAGTAGCTTTTACTTCCTTCATAACTCAACAGGCCTAGGACGGCAGATGAAAGAAGACGTCAAACCTCGTGTGACAACTACTAGCGTCACAATGGTTTTGTCAGCCTCGTTCCCTGGTCGCTTTTCCCTGACTTTCCCCAGGGGACGAGGTTCAGTGATTTTGTTTGACATAATTTTCTGCCTCACTTCACCTTCCAGATCCTTTTGTCAAAGACCAGAAAACATGACTGTGAAGCGATGCTCACGACAAAACACGCAATTAATAGCCCTGTCCCGTTTGTTACTCATAAACGTTTGGCCGTCCTCTTCTATCTGCTGTCAGTGTCCTGTTGCGTAAGCTCTCTATAAACAAGAAAAGCACAATGACCAAGGGGGGTGCGAAAACTGACCTAGATGCCGTAATAGTCTCCCGCGACCATTCCCAACCTCGTCCCCTCGTAAGATTAATGACAAAACATCGAATGACGCTAAGATTACTTTATTCATAAATTAACTTTCTTTCTTCTTTTGAAATCAAATTAAGTAAATCGTGTGATGAATCTGTGAAGGCATAACGGGGGTATTGCGGGGGTATGGCACTTAAAGAAAAGCAAATAAATAACTTGAAAGGTTAAAACCTCTCTTTTTGGTACTAAATGAGTGCTAAGTTTCTAACCTGAGCGTACAAATCCAGACTCTGGTTGATCATCAAACAGCGATATAAATATGGGAAGACAGAATCATTGTTTGTCAAGTCACACCGAGCCATCACGACCATCATTGCACCAGACAAAATACTCAGGACCCAAAATACACGCGTCACCGTGCGTGCTTGTTCCAGAGAAAACCTAGGATGATCTGGCAGGAGCATGGCGTCTTTACGACAATATGCCAACAGTGGGAAGACTAAGAAGATGAGCGAGACACTGAACATGGACAGGAACAGGAATAACTCGCATAATGGTGTGAAGCCTATGATTCCAGCTGTCTCGTGAACTCGATAACAGAAGAGCAGAGGGGTAAACAGACTGCAGACTATGAGATCGGCGATGGCCAAGTTTGTCAGAAGGAACGTGAAGGCTTTATTTGTGGCTTTGTCAGTCACGTAAGCACGGATCACGATACCAGTACCGAGCGAACCGAGGATGATCGTAGCGAGATACAAAGGGCAGACGAACACTGTAGTCACGGCGTATTGCTCGTAGAGTTGCATGGTCTGACTGTCAATCCCTGACGCCGAGCGAAGTTGTAGGTTATAAGGATAGATGCAAGTGACAATTTTAAAATAACGAAGGACCAATCGACGCTGCGATATCTCGTGGTTTCCTTCCGTATAACAGCCTGGATGCCAGATACTTTTCATGCTCGGTTTCCGGTTTCGATACAGAGCTGGCCCAGTCCTCGGTCAGGAGCCCATGTCAATTGCTTGAACACTGGGGTTGTACGTGATCTTTTACACGATCACAAGCCGCTCTCGAGAACATCCCGGGAGAAGCACGCACTTAAATAAATGACATGGGAACTATGCTAAGACGTTAAGTCATCGAAAACTTTGGTATAGGTAAAATTTAACAGTCAAATGACACTGGGATATTTGTGTTTAGTCAAAAAGCATTTGTATACGATCGTGTCACGCGATGAGATCTTTGGAGGAATGTGCAAGTGAAGGCCTTGACGCCTACCAGTATAAACAAATTTTTATTGCTGTTGTTTATTTTATTGTTGCTTTGCTTTCGAATAAGTGAGAATGACGCTCTTTATGCTAGGCTGCCTAGCTAAACGTTTCGAAGCGCAACATCACCGCTCAGAAAGGAAAAGAGAACCTTCTTCTCGCTCCCGACCCCCGCCCCGAGAAATCCCTGAAGGAAGGAAGTATATGCTGCTTCTTTATTGGGTGGTAGACAGGCCATCGGCTGCTCACCAGGCTTAGCCCTAAATAAAACATACTGTCTTCTAACAATCTAGCAATGTGGCTTGGTTTTTTTATCTTAAGGGAAAAATAATTGAAGCTACTGTACCAAATTTATAATTCATGACAAGTGCTGAAAAAGGCATCAGCCTGTCCATAGGCGTTTTTCTTCTGCGATATGCGCGAAGGCTAGAATATGTATCAAGACGCACGACAGTCAATGAATCGTCTTGCGGTTTTTAGTTATTTTCTTGTACACGCTGGACGACCTCTAAAGAGAAACTAGAATGGTCTGCGAACTGGCTAAATACTAAAGAGACCAATTTCACCTGCTAATTCTGGATCGCCGATATCACTAAAAAAATATATAATAATTAAATAAATTCTGAGGACCAAATTGTATGGTAGCACAACAGAGCAGAACAGCATACTAATGCGCACACAACAGGTAGGTTAAATAAATAACAGTTCTTGATATGTATTTTGTTAGTACGTACTAAAAATTTAAGAATAAGGCCACTGTCACTTTTCAAGTTTGCGGCTTTTCTTGAAAACTAAGGGGACTTTAAAAAATTGGGTTGGGGTGTGTCACATGATTCCCGAAACCCTTTACCTTGTTCGGCCCGAAATATGTGATTGAATTCGGGGTAAGTAAAGAACATTGTAACAAACAAAAAGCAAAAAATCTATATCCAATTTCTGAAAGAGGTCAAAAGCCATATTCTTTGGTGCCTGACACACACTGAGCTCAGTTTTCAAAGTTTTGTAACCTAGAGACGGCTAGGAATGAAGGCTTGAAGTTTAAGGGTAAACAATGTGAAAACTTTTACTTCGTTTCGACACACGCTCCTCGATCGTACTTTTCCTCTGGAGACAAATGAATTCTAATTTTCTTTACCTCTACCAAAATAGCTGGGGAGGGTTCAGCTATACGGTAAAATCGAGAATATTTCCCAGTTCCACGCTTCAGTCAGGAAGTTTTGCTCTGACGTACGCATTTATGAAATTGTCCGGTTTAAGAAGATTTCCGGGTGCATTTTAAAAACAGTCTTGTGCCACCGAAGAAAACAAATTAATCTTTTATAACGGATTTCCTGTATAGCCCAGGTATAAGACTAGCTTCGAATACTTGAGACCGGCGAATAAACCTGCCCTATTTGCCTCCGTGCCAATTTTCACCGGCTTGAGAGAGCAAAAAAAGTGTAGAAGCCAGAAAAGACGAAAAGAAAGCCCAGGGGAATGGAATGGTAGGAAAAGAAACAGGTAAAACAAAGTCAGGCTCTATCAGTACCCGACTTTGCTAGACTACTAGTAATCCCTCATTTTCCTCAGGGATAGCTGAGCGGTAGGAAAAACGCGAGTGCGCGTGAAAATTTCAACGTGCGTGTCACCTTCCTAGCCGGTGGCGATTTTCACGCGAGCTTGCGTGTTTCGCTCCCCTACTTAAGGGACCACTCCCCTGTACTATGGGATTCCCTGCGTGTCCTCTGGAACTGGTTTCGTTATATTAAGTCCCCAGAAGTTCCCCGATCTCCTTACGCATGTTAAACTTTACATGGATACGTTCGTGTTTACTTTCGATGACACTGGCAGCGCCAGGGTCTCGAAAGCTCCACAAATCAGTTAAATTCCAAAGCAGGATGGATCGTCATTTCGCCTGCAGGACACTTCGGTTATAAGCTTACCATCTTCCTAGTCAACTTGTTGGCCCAACCGCTGCGGCTCAAAACATGCATCCGGCTGGTAAAGTTTTTTAAAACTGCAGGCTCCTGTCAAATGCAAGCTTCAATGAATCTTCCCGTTTCGTCTTTTTGCAATTTTACTTAAGTTGCACGTGAGTACATCTCGATCACCGTCTTATTAAGATAATTAATTAATCGGGAGGACGAACGTCAATATCTGGGTACAGCTGTTAATGAACTGCTTAGAAACTGATAAAAACTGTAGCCATGTCTGATAAACTAGCTCTAACAAAAGGATAAAAAGTAAGTCATGTATCCGGTCGCGAACAAATGGCACTAAAACCACTTGTGGCTCTCTCTCATAAAGATAAGAATTAAAACCACACATTTTTTCATGAGACAGCATTCATGAGACAGCATTCTGATCTTGAAGAGACTCTTATTGTTTTAAGTGATTTCATATTTGTTTCACGGCCACTTCTCTAAGCCATGTCATCTCCTCCCCAATATAGATCATAATCAATTTCACCCCATATAAGAGAATCCGGATTCCGGAACGCGTGAAAATCAGGGATACTGCGCTTTGGATTCCGGAATACAGCTCAAGGAATCCAGAATGCTACTAACGATTGGAATCCAGAAACCAAGACTATCTTGGATTCCCTTACAAGAGGCGATCAATTGAAGGGGCTGCGTCACGGCTGGTTAGTTTATTTTGTTAATGATAAACAATTGTTGGATGAGGTTTTTGTGATATCAGGAATAATCAAGGTCGAGGTAAGCTTAGTGTTATTATCAGCCGAGCCGAAGGCCGAGGCTGATAACACTTACCGAGACCTTGATTATTTAGGATATCACAAAAACCGAGTCTAATAGTAGTTTTATCATACATTGTTTGGAAGAAAATAACGACAAACACACCGTAGCAAGCTAAGGAGCCTGAATTGATATTGTTATTGGAAATCATGCATTGCGCGCGCAGCTAGTTAGCTGCTAGCAGATAACAAACTTATTATTGCTGTAGCTTGCGCTGATTTCTAAAATTAGCTGTAGGCTCTTAGCCAATAAGAAGGCAGATAATGAGTACAATGTATAATAATACCAATTGCACGCCGTTATCCTTATTACCTGTAAATGAAAAAATCACAGCTTCGTGTCACACAAATATGTCTCCTAAGCATTATTTAAGACGTTATTTGTTTCGTATTTGTTTTGTTATCTATACCTTTTTTTAACGCTTTGAGCGATAATTTTTATGTATCATGTAAGTTAGTGACAGTTCCTATAAATTTCGTGACACAGCTCATTTGAAAAGAATGTTACTCATTTACACCTGTGGTATAATGCTGCCTGCCTGTGGCTAGCTTGCCCTATTCTCCACATTTTGCTACACTTTTCCTCTACTTTCTCCCTTCCCCTCCAAGCAGGCTTGAAGAGTGTCGAAAAATTCTTGTTGAAAGTACCATGTAGGACTGCGCTCACAAAACAACTCAAACAACGTTGTTTGAGCCTCGATGGCGAAGATGGTGAAGAGTAATTCTCAAAAACCACCTGAGGTAAAATTTTCATCGGTGCGGTGAATCAACAGATTATAGACCTAAAAACGTTTCCGACGGCTGAATGACCATAGTTAGTGGAGGAAATTGGTTATGAAGGTCGGCAGCCATCAAAGACAGAAAACAACGGTGTTGCAAATTACGCCTGGTGGCTCCCTGAAGGGTCCAGAAGGTGCACAATCCTTTGTTTTTTGTTCGCAAATTGTGACGGAATAAATTAATGCGACGTTTTTATTGGTTAATAAGATCAGAATAATAGAAATGCTATTGAACGTTGTATATGTTTGGTTATTTTATCCTTGGTTTAAATTTTATTTTCTTTTGTTTCAAAAAAACATACACACCCAAAAACAAAAAAATTTAAACCAAGGATAAATTTGAACCACAACAGGCTTCAAAAACATACAGTCTGCACGGGTTTCATAACCATTTTTGCTGATAACTATGATCAAGATGACACAATCATTTCCTTTTCCTTTTTAGTAAATTCGCGCCGTTAATGCTAATCAGGAAGCACTTTATTTATAAACTTTTTTTCTGACCTTTTCCCCTCGCGTGCCTGTGGCTTTAGAGCTTGCATGCAACCTTACAAAACCCTGAGGAGCCGCGCTTAAGGCCACAAAAGGAGAAGATCTGCTGAGCGGAAATTTCTAGGCTAATTCAAATTCCATCTCTAGCGTCAATAAACTCTCAGTGCATGTGCTGTCGGAGCAAGGTCGCAAGAATTCTCGCACATTGAACGAATTAAACCGACAAAGATTAACTTTTTAAGTCTTAGTCCGATTTTCGTACGGGATCAAGACGTGTAAACCTTCGTTTACGTCAATAAACATGATAAATGGACTTAAAAGAAAGCAAAACAAATTTAAGCCGACCGTCTTCCAGATGCCGCAAGAGTTGTTTATCAAGTGCTCGATAAGCCCCCACTTTTGAGCTTTCTTTTCCTTGGCGAATTTGTTGTGGATTATCGTATCATGTTACCAAGGGTACAAAATAAAGCATCTGAAATTTACCCACAAATTTTCCTCTGACTTGACTAGAACCGGTACGAGCTAAACACCACGGA